ACTTCAGGTCATCTCTCCAGCCTCTTTCTCCAGCTTCTTTCTTCCTGCCACTTTACATGACAGGTGCACTAAGAAATGTGCCCTCATCTTTCCTGGCTTTTGCATATGTTGTACCTTCTGCCTGGAAGCTCTTTCCCTTTTCTTTCCCTCCATGCCCTTTCTTCTTTGCTGATCCTCCATATTGTTAAGCACTGAGCTTGGACTGTACCTTCTCTCAGGTGTGCCCTCACACAGCCTCTTGTCAGGATACATACCCAATATATGGTAATTCCCTGTTACCTCTTCCCCCACCTCCCACCCCTCATTCAACAGTAAACTGCTTTAGGAAAGTACTGTGTCTTTTTCATTATGATTTGTACCAGTGTCTGGTACATAACAGGCACTTGGAATTTGCTGAATGGACATATAAATCTATGAATACATTGATGCATGACAGACAAGAGAGCAGGTAGGGATTTGTAGCTTTCTTCACAAATTAGTGACTTAATTTTCACTTCCCCCCCAATTCACATCTCTTTGATTATTTGAGGCATCTAATTTTCATAGGTTGAGATCCCCGGGAAACAGATTTTGAAATGGAGCGTGTGCAGGAAATTTACTGGGGAATGCTCTTGGGAGCACCTGTGAAAGAAAAGAGGCCATAGGATGGTTAAATGGTGATGCAGCTGCAACAGAAGCCTCCACCAACACCACAAGACCTTTCAGAGATGGTTCCCATTGAAGCAAGGTGGCCAGGCCTTTGAGCCCATTCCCTTTCTCACCCCACCCCCTCCCATGGGTTAGACGTGGGCTGTTCCTGGGAGGGAACCTAACCTTGGCTGAGGCAGCTCCCTTTTAGCCTAGGGGCACTTCTTGAGGAGTGACAGTTGTCAGCAGGCAGCACTCCTGGAAGCTGGGGGATCCTGGCAGTGCACCACAGCATCCAGTACAATGATTAAGACTCAAGACTTCTCTTCCATATGAAGGCAGGTGGAAGAGACCATCTGCCTTCATATGAACAAGAATGTCAAGGACCTGGTACATAGGAAGTGCTTATCAAATACTTTTTTCCTTCTCTACTTAACCTATTCCCTGGGTGGATTTTAGATTCTAAAATATTCAGACACACTTGAAACACTGCTGCCTTTCAGCAATCTCATAATATAAGGTAACATTAAGTACAGACCTGTTCCTGTCATTGGGGTAGGTGTTACTGCATTTAATCTCTGTAACTACCTAAGGATGGATACTATTATTTTCCCCTTTTTACAGAGCAGAAAGCTGAGACTCAAGAGAGATTAAATGACTTATCCAATGTGCTACAGGCTGAAATGTGTTCATGCCACAAAATTCATGTTGAAGTCCTAACCTCCCAGTACCTCAGAATGTGACTTTATTTGGAGGTAGGGTCTTTAAAGAGGTAATTAAGTTAAAATGAAGTTATTAGGATGGACCCTAATCCAATATGACCAGTATCCTTATAGGAAGTGGAAATTAAGTCAGAGACATGCACAGAGGAACGACCATATGAAGACACAGGGAGATGACCATCTACAAGCCAAGGAGAGAGGTCTCAGAAGAAACCAACCCCGCCGACACCTTGATCTTGGACTTCTATCCTCCAGAGTTGTGAAAAAAATAAATTTCTGTTGTTTAAGCCAAGCAATCTGTGGTACTTTATTACGGCAACCCTAGCAAACTCATACACAAGGTCATTACAGCTAGTGAGTACTATATTTGAGGTTTGTACTGGCTGTCTCGAGAATCCACAATGCTATTGTTAAAGTGATTATTGCTGCAAAGATGGTTTCCACCAACTAAAGCACAATGTGCTCATTAAGTGGAGACTGTATAATGCAAAGATTGCTGCTCAACAAGTATCTGCTCAACAGAACAGAAAATCCTCTTTTAAGGTGTTCAAGGAAAGAACTATTGAGCTCTTTCCACCCACCCAACCCCCCAGCCAGTCTTGCCTTCACAGGGCAATTTCTGAAAGGACTGTCCTAATCAGTGGCCCCACCCAGGAAACCATGGTGCAGGGGAAACTGGCAGCAGGAAGATGGGAAGGCAGAGGGTCCTGCTATATCAAATGCCCAAACTCCGTGGCTCAGTCTGCAAGTCCCTTAACCAACAGCTTCTTCCAACAGTCCATAACTTCCTTCCAGGCAGGGCTATCTTGCTTCTTGCCCTTCCCTACACCTGAAATTTTTCTGGAGCCAAAGAAATTTGATGTTATAGAAAAGTACTCACCTGAAACTGTAAGATCTTATAAATGAAATTATTCTAACTGCACTTATTCTATGACTTTGGTTTTATTATATTAAAAGACTTTGCTCATGATCCCTGAACAGGAGTCCAGGAATTGACTGAAATTTGCACAAATAATATTTTTCCATTGGGTATAAAAGTGCCTCACTTACATGTATACTTTGCATTTCCCTTTGATGAGAGAGTTTTCCCCAGAGGTGTAGGTGAACAGAGAAGCTCTGTACCTTTTAGGTAGAGGATGATCCATATTTCTTATCAACCCCAGTGGTCTCTGCCCTCAAAGCACCTGGGTATCCACTTTCTCCAGACCAGGTCACAAGTATCCACTACAGAGTATTTGTTGTGAAATCTCTATTTAGGGTGTTTATATGGCATCCCTAGGTTGCCCATCAGCAACCAGACCAGGAACATTCAGTTTCTCCTGCTGTGGACAGAAGATCACAATCTTGTTAACAGGTTATTTTGCTTATTCAGCTGCAGAGCTGGGAATATCCTGCTGAGTGAATTCCAAAACGCACATGAACAAGGCACTTGTACATATAGAAATAGGAAGAGATTATTATACAAGTAGGGCACCTTTAACTCCCGGGACTCACTCAAGAATAAGGAACTAGTTCCTATAACATAATTAAACTAGGTACACAAAACATCTGTTGTTGGAATAGCTTCTTCTGCACTAACAAAGACTAAAGGTAAGGTTAGGTCAATATTTTACCTATGGTATTTTTCTGATTTCAGGTCGTCTTAGAATGCTTAAAGGGCACTGCACAATGATGGCTATTTCTGGAGTGACTACCACAAAGGCCAGAACTCTAATCCATACCTTTGACCTCTTGTCCCTATCCCCTGCTTCCCAGAATCCTACTTTGCCCTTTCTGGGAACTCTACTTTCCTGGTCAACCAGCAGCACTGGGTTGCAGAAATGGGGAGAGATGTTTCATGGGGTGAAAAGAAGATGGCCACTCCTCATCTTCCCAAATTTGTTCTCTCCTTCTCCACAGTAATTTAACTGGGCAAATGCTAGAGGTGTTTTTCAGCTCCCTAGAAGACAGATGTGGCCATGTAATTGAGTTCTCACCAAAGGAATGGGCCACCTTCCATGACACTTAATGAAAGGGAAATCACTTGTCCTGGTGACTATTACTTCAATTTTCCTGTGAGTTAGAATATGCATATGGTAATGATCCAGCTTCAGGCCTATGGACAAAAACAGCATCCTGGCCTATGGGATGGAAGAGTAAGCACACGGGCTCCTGAAATATCTGGTGAAACCAAACTGAGCTGCCTCCTAGACCAGGGCTTGGCAAACTTTTCTGCAAAGGGCCAGATAGAATAATAAATATTTCAGGCTTTGCAGACCACATGCAGTCTCTGTCACATATTCTTTTTTTTTTTCCTAATACTTTAATAATGTAAAAACCATTTTTAGCTTGTGGGCCATACAAAAACAGGCCTTGAGCTGGATCTGAATGTGGATGGCTGACCACCTGCTAACCTTTGGACATTTATGTGAGAGAGAAATAAACTAGCATGTCAGAGTCAGGAGTCTTCTCTGAGGAGATAACATTTAAATAGAGATCCAGATAAAGGAAGTGACTTACATAACTACCTAGGAGGAAAGCATGGAGGCAGGGGGTGGAGAACAAAGACAGATCTCTGGTGGAAATGAACTTAAAATGTGCACCCGTTATCAATTTAGTGCCTCCTATCTCCAAATCCACCCTTCTTTGTCCTACTTTATGATACTGGAGCTGGACCTGTAAATATTCCCTCTTTGCCAGGTGGTATAATGTTTAGGCTTTGCCAGTAAAGGGCACTGGAAGGACAAAGCAAAGGGGCTTCCTCCTAGTCCTGGCTTTTGCCATCTTACTCTTACAGTGCAGCTGCCAGTGGTGTGTGGGAGACCCAGTGGCACTCACCCTCTAGTGAGTTTCACTGGCACCTTAACCAGTGGCTTCCTGTTTGTCAGCCTTGGCCTGCAGCACCTCAGTGAACTTCACCATCCAGTGAGCCAATAGCCAATGTTGTGTTGATAAATATTTAATAACTAGCTCAAATACAAAAAATCTGATTTGTTGCATTTGCTGACTTCCATGGTATGAATACTTCCACCACAGCTAATTTCAATGCAGATTTGGGAAGAGATGTACAAAACTGGCTCTTGCAAGCCTATACAAATGAACTGTGATATACCACTGGAACAACCACACCCTGTTCAATCTTGAGGTCTGAATTTCAGTACTGGTCAGGGTCGGGGGGACCCTCTTCTAAGTCTGCTTCTTCCTTGAGAATTCTCCCTCAGCCCTAAAGCTATTCCTATATTCTTTAGAGATATCTTTACCTCCTTTAGCAGAAAATCTCTTTTTACTATTTAACACTTCTTTATATTAAACTTTCCCTGTTCAAATTACTAATGTGATTTCTGTCTCCTCCCTGGATACTTGTAGATATGACCCTGTTCAAGGAGGTTGACCAGTATGGGTCTGAGAAAGGACTAGAACCAGAGACCCATTCACAATAAATACTAATGTAACTACCACTGCCTGAGTAGCTGCTTTGTGCCAGGCCCAGAACTCTAATGAAGTAAGCATTACCAGACCTATCTTATTGGTGGGCAAACTGGGCAGCTTAGAATCCTGCTCAAGGTCACGCTAGAAGGAAGAACAGTATAATTTGGCTCTTACTTGCAGCTAAAGGCAACCTAATTGATATAGTCATCTTAAAGGACATGAAGTGATGATCTGCAGGTGGGACTAAACAGTTTTTCCTAAATCAAGAAAGACACAGGAAAAACCTTAAGGTGCTGATAACTCTTATGGGATCTAGTCCTAAAGAAGATCAGACAAATGTACAAGTCTGTCTGGAGATGTTCTCACCTTCAATACACTGGGAAGGCTCTTTTTTGGTATGAGCCCTCTGGTGTCTAATAAGCTCTGAACTCCATCTGTAAGCTTTCCCACATCCTTTACATACAAAAGGTTTCTCTCCACTGTGAATTCTCAGATGCTGACTTAGATATGAGCTTTGACTGAAGGCCTTCCCACACTCATTACACTCATAAGGCTTCTCTCCTGAATGAATTCTCTGATGTTGAACAAGATGAGCACCCCACCTGAAGGCCTTCCCACATTCATTACATTCATAGGGTTTCTCTCCTGTATGAATTCGCTGATGCTGAATGAGGTTTGAGCTCTGATTGAAAGTTTTCCCACAATCACTACACTTATAGGGTTTCTCTCCAGAATGAATTCTCTGGTGAATTACAAGGTGTGAGTTATAAATGAAGGCTTTACCACATTCACTACATTCATGGTCTTTCTTCCCTGTGGGAGTTTTCTTATGGGTGACAACTGTCTGTCTGAAACCTTTCCCCTGTGCAGGGGACCACCTCAGTCTCTCTGCTTTGGGATTTCTCTGCTGCTGGTCTAAGGTACCCTCAACTTCAGAGGTAGCTTCAAATGTAGAGGTGTTGGTGGCGAGTTTTTCTGAGGACACCTGAGATTCCACTTCAGTAATGGGCGGCTGTGGCAATGATCCCTTGTCCTTGGGCTCTGGACCATCTTCTGTAACAACTGATGGAAAATGTAAACATTCCTGTTCTGGATGTATGGAGAAATGACACTTAGATTAGAATTTACATTTCTGAAATGAAAATAAAAGCTTAGACAATATTCACCAGATATATGACAAAGACTAGTAGGATATTTACTTAGCTATTACCAACGGTTATCTCTTGGTGATAGGAATATACAGGAGAGAGGGTTTCTTCTTTTTTCTTTCCCCTGCTTATCTGTTTTTTTTTTCTTCTAATTTTTCCATAATGGAACACTAAATAAGTGTTATTGAAAAAATAAAAGAAGTTTCAAAGTAGGATCTTGTTAGGATTCACTCTTGAAAAATAAGACAAAAACTCATATTTTCAAGAAATTGGGGAGTGGTCAACTGATATTGTGAAGGAAGGGAAAAATAAGAATCATTAGGGTTAGGGAAAAGTCATGTTTCTAAAGGCAGAAAGACTGTGTCCCTCCTGGCTCTGTAACCTTTACCTCTTCCCATTCATTTTCCCACTGTATAAAGGGATAGCTACTGAAGCAGAGCCTCCCATAGCTATTTCTTTTATTGAAGGGAGGAGTGCCAGCTCCCTGCCTCCTATCTGCTTGGGGCTCTGTCTTTCCCTTTGCCCTGCTCCTTAAAAAAGAAAGAAAAGAATGCTTTGCCTTTTTTTTTTTAGATGTCTGTAAGACAATTTATATTTTATTTGTCTGTAATATTGTCTATAGTCTAAGGAGAACAAAAAGCAATTGCTTTAAGCTAACTCAAGATCATTTGATTTAAAAATACATTTTTTTCCCTCAGGTTAAATGCTGTGGTTAAATAAGTCTGAAATATGTTTGCTATAAAAAAATAACACAATAGCTAGCTTCTTTTTAAAAGTAAAGTACCAAGTTGATAAATGAATAGAGGCTTACTAAACAGAAGTAAAGGAGACAAGAAAAAGTCTGGAAAAAAGACCAGGAAAGGAGAGCTTGGTGGTAAAAACATAATTCTGGGACAAACTCTAAGATTAATCTCCATTTGTAGTTTTCCCCATTTTGCTACTAACAAGAATTCTATTTTTCAAATGCTTTTGTTTGGTGGTGGTAGTGGTGGTGGGGTTGTGGTGTAAAACCAATTATTAAATAGACTCTTCCCGATTAGAAATATATGCACATTATGTTCACCACAGTTCATGATGTTACAGAGGTCAGCAAGGACAGTTCACTGTCCTGCATCTCTAGGTTTATTGTCTCTAAGTCTAGTGTTTGCAACTGGGACAGAGGAGAGGATGTTTGTGGGGATGTATGCAGGCTGAGAAGGAAATTTTTGCAGTAAATCTGAAGGGTAGAAGGTATTAATAAATGTAGACATAAGAGAGTTTCAAATAGGGTTGTTTAGATGGGGGGTAGATGGTAGATAAAGATGATGACAGGCTGTGTCTCACATAGGACTGCATTATGGCTTAAAAGTGTTTTGGGAGGCATGGGGAAATTAAAGGAAAAGATCTCAATGCTGGCCTCTAAGCTCAAAGCAGAGCTATTATGGACTAGAAGAAGTCAAAAGCAGTGGAGATAACGAAGCAGATATTATGTAAGTTTAATTTATATAAGTTTTAGTTTAATCCTCGAGCTATCTCATGAGGTAGGTTATTCTTACTCCTAATTTTACAGGTGATAAAACAGGCAAAGCCTCTAAACTAAGAGATAAGAATAGTAAGGCCAAGATGATGATAAAAAAACATTTGAGCACCTACTATTTGCCCTTTATAGGTACTAGGTTCTGTACCCTTTATATTCCCTCTTCCTCCTCTCCCTCCCCACAGAATCCTGCTCCTCACCACTCTCTGGGAAAGGCTGGGTCTCCTGAGATTCACACTTGAGCTGCGTCTCCTTAGGCTGGAGCTGGATGTTCAATGCTTCCTGGGCTGCTCCCAGAGGTGCCTTCTTCTCCCATGGCTCTTCCTGTATAGGTCCACGTGTAGGGCCCAGGACCTGGAGGTGATCAGGCACCACTCGGTTTATGTGGGACCAAAGCTTCCAAGGAGACTTTAGAGAGCCTCCTCAAAGTCAGCACAGGGGAAGGAAGAGGAACTAGAGTCTCTTTCTCATTCGGGGCTTGCGGGCAGAAAAGACAGAGACAGAAATACATACTAACTACTCTACCTGGCCCAAGAGAGGTTTGACCTTGGCAACTCCCCCTATTGCTGCCCCTCTGTCCAGCCTGAAGGTCATTGATCTGGCTCCCAAAACAGATCAAATCCCCCTTCCCACCTGCGGTCCTGGTTCAAGTCCTTTCTCTAAATCCTCCAGCACAGTCACAGCCTCCTCTCCACTCCTAGGGTGATGTCCCCGCACCCAGGACTGGAGCTCCTCAGGTAGGATGGTCAGGAATTGTTCCAGCACCAGTAACTCCAGGATCTGCTCCTTGGTGTGTCTCTCTGGCCTCAGCCACTCACAGCAGAGTACCCGTAGTCGGCTCAGGGCCTCCCGGGGACCAGGAGTCTCTTGGTAACAGAGCTGCCTGAAGCGCTGGCGAAAGATCTCTTGACTGCTGGAGTGGTTCCCAGGTAGTCTGGTCTCATACTCCCAAGACTGTCCCTCTTCCTTTGGCTCCATCATCCTAATCTCTTGTTCCTGTGTACCCTCAAGGGCCAGAGTTTTAGCTGCTGTTAGTGATACAGCCATCCCAGTCTGGACTAGCTCTGCAGAAGGCCCATACCAGCTCAAATCTTTCAGGGGCACCCTGTAACATAAGAAGAAATCATTCTTCTTTGTTTCATTCATAAAACACATACTTAGCATCTACAAAGTCTCAAACCCCATAATATACCCTTTTACTTCCTCTTTCTCCTCTGCCCCTCCCCAGAATCCTGCCCCACTAAGTCACAGCTTTTGAGATACTTGCAGTCTGGTAGATACAGGGCCGTAAAGTGGTTTTCTATAATAGAACTAGATAAATGCTGTAAAAGGTAAAAGCAGCAGGAAAAAAAATTCTGGGGGCCCATAAGAAGAAATGACTATTGGGAAGAAACAAGTTTGAAGCAAAACCTGTTTCCAGATTCGGAGCCCAGAGCTGAGCTGCTTTCAGAACAAGGTGGCCGTGCTGGGGAGGCAGCCTCCTCCCAGATGGCCCATTCACTCTTTTTCAAATTTCTGAAGTAGTGGCTGCGGCGAAATAAAAATGTAAACCCCTTCTAAGGGGCTGGATCTTACTCAAACGCCCAGGATTTGTAGCAGGGCCCTGTTACGGGGCTGCTACGATCAAGACTTGGTCTTGGGTACAGTGTCATCATCAGGGAAATCTAACAGGGAAGGAGGTGGGACGCACTCAGAGGCCATTAAAGGAGCACAAACGGGGGCCGCTGGCCGAGGACAAAGGAGGCTCGAAGACAAACGTGAGAGACACCCGTGTCTCCCAGGGTGATGCCCCGGCGACGCCAGCCCCCAGCTGAACTTCTGCCACGGGCAGGTGCCCACCTGAAAGCCCTGGAGAGGGGGGTGTCGTCCAGGCCAGTTACAACTCCCCACCAACACCCTTAACTCTTTCCCCTGGGATCTTGGGAAAAGAGAAGAGGGGCACCGAGGTCGCCAGCCCTCCACAGCACGTGACGTACGTGACGTACCGCAGGCAGCGGAACGCGAGTACGGGGCTGGCCCGAAACCCTCTCCACACAACCTGCGGCGCCGCCTGCGAGTCCTGAGCAGGACCCCGCTGCCTGCCGCGACCGGCAAACGCAGCCGGGGCTCGGAGCTGCACCTCACGGCAGCCGCCGGCAAGACTCACCTCACAGCATCGGGAGGTTCCATGGGGCACCACCGCGAGCTGCGCCGCTTCCAGCTCCCCGCCCTACTCGCAGGTTTGCGCCTGCGCGTGCGCATGCCGCAGCTTCAGCCTCCACCTCCCAGGAGCCTCCGCGCCGCCGGCTGCGGCTCTCTGCTTCGGGACAGACTAGTGGCCGCTGCTCTGAGATAGGATGGCAGGAGCCGGCTTCTGGCTCGAACTTGAGCCTAGTACAAGCGAGTGAGCCTCCTGTACGGGTGGACTTCAGTCGGCCTCGTCTCTGGGATTTGCAGTCCTTGGGCAGGTGGAGGCAGGGCCGGTGAGAGCGAGTTACTTGACCATGTCCGGCGGGCCTCACTTCTCTGTGGGATTGTACCTTAAGGGGCAGTGCTGCTTGACGGAAACGTCAGGGAAATTCTATCCAGTCTTGGGCATGGCCTATTGCAACACTTCCTCCTTTAGGTTCTATTTTCCAGTTACCTCTTCCTAGATATTATCCAAGGGTCACAGCCGAAGAAGACGTTCCCGTCACGGGGAAAATATTTCCCAACCACCGGCCTACCCTTGTCCATTGGTAAATAAAAAGCAATTCCTGGGGCATAGGGGGAGGGGAGGAGGAAAAGAATTCTACGGTTACATTTTATTGGGGTGGGGGAACTATTGCTATCCATGTTTTCCAAAGATAATAGAGAAATATAAGTTCGAGGAAAGGTAAGGTAACCATTATGAGAATGGAAAAGTACAGTAGAACGTCCAAATTAATAAGGGAAAAAATAGAATGCAGTAGAATTTGAGCAAACCAGTAAAAATAAGAAAGAAGAAGCCACTTGGTTGAACCAGTAAAGGTGATATTGTAAAAAAAAAGAAAAAGAGGCCACTTGGATCAAAAGAAAATGAAAAGCAAAATTACAAACTACCTAGAAGGCAACGGAAAGAACATTTCATGCTAAAACTGTTATGGTTCGAAGTGCGAGAAAAGACCACTTAAGACCAAAACTGAGCCAAATTATGAGTCTTTATTAGCTGGCCAGCGACTACCCTCTGCACCGCCACAGACGGCTGCACAGAGAGCAGTCTCGAGCCAGGAGAGGCCAGCTCTTTTAAAGACAAAAATCACACACTGATAAATCATCTAATTGCTTGCATAAGCACAGTTACAGAAGCAAAAAAAGCGTTAGTCCTAACCATGGTACAATCTTATCTTGGGTTGACATGGTCTGGGAGGTTTTGGGAATTCTCCCCTTTCCTTAGATGAGTTTCGTAGGAGTTACAAGTCACAGCTGCAACTTTACTTTGAAGCAAGTATAACAATATTAATCTTAGCCAACATACATTTGACATCTCATTATCCAAGCCATATCACCTTCCACACAAGAAGCACTGCTGGGCTGCTCAGTGCTCCGGGGCGCTCCAACCCTCTGGCCCAGGCTACTATTTTATCTCGTGGACACCTGTGTGAAAGGCACCGTTTTCTTCCTTACATTCTTAGGTGCCCTAACGAAGGCAAGATAGCAGGTTCGGGGTCAGTAAGGGTCAGCTGAAAACTTTCCACTCTCTTAAGCAAGCAAGCAAGCATAATACAGAAGCCAATGGCTGGTTATTTGCTGCTTATGGTCTCTAGACCTTAACAAAAACCTGTGAGAGCTCAGCAACAGCCATACTTGAAAATGTATAGCCTTCATTACCTCCTTTATTAATGGATAAAGAAATAAAAGAATTTAAAGTTCATCTTAAGGAACTTAAAAAGCATAGTAAAATAAGCCAAAAGAAACAAGGAGGAGTGAATTAAAGATAAAAACTATAATTCATGAAATAGAAAAAAATGGTTGAAGGGATAAAATCAAATGCTGATTCCTTTGAAAAGACTATTAAACTGTTTAGAGCCTGATTAAGGAAAAGAAATAAAAATTAACAACAGTAGGAATGGGAAACAAAACATAACCACAGAATCAGAAGAGATTAAAATAATTAGAGACTATTACATTCAACTTTAGGGTAGCATATTTGCAAACCTAGACGAAATGGATGATTTTCTAGCAAAACGTAAGGTACCAAAATTGTATGCACCAGCCTAAATGTTTATAAAACAACCCTGACTCAGACAGAAGATCCCAAGGACGTGCTACAGAGGAATTACATTTTAATGTAACATGAAGGACTACTTTCAGGAAAACAAATTTCTAAATGGGAATCATTAAAATATTTAGTGACCAAGTTTAATTTGAAAATAAATGGATACTTTGTCCAAGCAAAATATAATTTAACCTGAGTTTTTTCCTGCAACATATAGTTTATATCTACAGGGGAAAGAAAAGGAAGAAAGAAAACGACATGTACTACCTCTTGTGATGAATATAATTTTCAATAAAAAGACTAGACAGTTATAAACTTGGACATTCATTCAAGCATTTATGAACAGCTCCATCTTAAGGCTTTTCCATATTTGTTATATTCAAGGGTTTTTCTCCAGTATGAGTTTTATGATGTCTCATAAGGTCTGAGCTCTGATTAAAGGTCTTTGAACATTTTTCACATTTATATTGTTTCTTTCCACTGTGAATTCTTTGATGCTAAATAAGTAGTAGCTCCCTCTAAAGACTTTCCCACATTGATAAGGCCTCTCACCCGTATGGATTCTCCGATGCTCTGTAAGGACTGAGTTCTGATTGAAGGCCCTTTTACGGTCACTGCATTTGTAAGCTTTTTCTCCGATGTGAATTGTTTGATGTTTAATAAGATGTTAGCTGCCTCAGAAGGTTTTTCCACATTCATTATATTCATAAGGTTACTTTTCCTTATGAATTCTATGCTGTCCATTAAGTTCTGAATGTGAACTGAAGGTATTCTCATTTTGAGTTTCTCTTCAGTATGAAGTCTTTGATGTTTAAGAAAAACTATGTGCCCACTGAAGGCTTTACCACATTCAGTTCATTCATAGGGTTTTTCTCTACTACGTATTCTTTGATGCTGAATAAGGAGGGAACTCTGCCTGAAGGCTTTCCCACATTCGCTGCATTCATGGAGTTTCTCCCTATGGACGATGAATTCTCTGATGGGTAACAAGATGTAAGTTTTGACTGAACACTTTTCCACAGTCATTACATTCATAGAGTGTCTCCCCACTGTGAATTCTGTGATATATAATTAGATCTTAGCTCTGATTGAAAGCCTTTCCACATTCATTACGTATATATGGCTTCCTCCACTGTGAATTCTCTGGTGAAGGATAATGTTTGAGCTTCCCCTGAAAACTTTTGCACATTGATTGCATTCATAGGGATTCTCCTCACTGTGAATTTGCTGATGGCAAATGAGACTGAGGCTCTGATTGAATTAGTTGCCACAGTCACTGCAAACATAAGGTTTCTTTCCTGTGTGAATTCTTTGATGTATAACCAGGTTTGAACTTCTTTTGAAAACCTTTACACATTCATTACATATATAAGTTCTCTTTAAGGGATGGATTTTCTGATGCTGAGCAAGTCCTGACTTCTCTTTGAAGCTCTGGCCACCTGCCTTGCACCTATAGATTCTTTCTTCTTCAGGCACTCTCTGGTGTGTAACAAGTGGGCTCAGATCACAAATTCTTACTTTCTTATTACTTTCCCTTGCCTATAAGGGTTTTCTTAAAGAGTAATGCTTAGTTGGCTGAACCCTTTGTCTTCAAATGGGGATTGTTGCAGTCCAGCTGATGATGAGTTTTACTGTTCACTCACATTTAGGCTGTTCTCATATTCACTGGGTCCTAAGAATTTAAATCCCTGGGGCATTTGTTTTGGGTGTCCTGCAATTTTTGTTTCTTCAGAAATTTCCTGGTTTAGCTTCCATTCCTTCTTCTCAGTTTTCTTTTCATTACCTGAAGCACAAATTTAAAGTATAAATGGTTACCTCCTCGTGCTAAGAGAAATGAAATTTTTACAAGGGGAGGCAGATGATCAAAATAAAACATTTCTATGTTTGGATTGACCTTTTGAATTCTCAAAAATGGTTTTATAATCAGGAAAAGAGAAAAGCTTCTAAACCAAACTTTGGTCTGTATGGTCTATAAGAACAGTTCCCAAACTTGTCTGATCATCAGAAACACATGGAAGAACTACTGAATCAAGAGGAGTCCACTTCTCTCTGCAGACTCTCTCTTTATGTGCCTGGATCTTGAAATTTCTTCTATTCAAAAGACCAGCACTGGATAAACTAGAATTTCCTAGTTCTGGTCCCAAAATCTTAGAAAAGAGATTCAGTTGTCCTAGTTCAGTTCTAATCAGTGGTGGCAAGGGAGGGATTGGAATTGGCGGGGGGGGGGGGTCACATGGGATAAATTTGGCTGCTGGGGGCCCACCTCTGTAGGTGAGAAGGACAGTTAGCAGCCTAGATACTTCAAAAGTTGTTTATTATTAATACATCATTTTTCCTAGAGGTGAGACCCTTATTACACATTTGTCTTCTTGGACATTTAGTGGATGTAACGAATACTGAATATAAGGGAAAAGTGGCAAGTAGGTTTTATCTCAAGTGTCAACCCTGAGAGATTGAAAGTAGTTAACTTAAAGCAGCACTTTGAAGATTCTGATGCCCTCTCTGGGCTCAACAAGAACTGTGATGGATTACTTAAGTCCGCCATGGGTGTGTGGGAGAGTATAGAGAGTAGTGGAAGTAAAGGAAGGATGGGATGGGCTTGTCATGTAATAGCTACGTCTACATAGAAGCAAAATCAAGATGCCAGTAGAACTTGGAAAATGGATTACTCTGTAATGATACACTAGTAAGTATCAACACATAATGGCTGATATGTGGAAGTAACCCAAAGAGGTAACGGGATCCTGGAGCTGTTAAGTCCAATCAAGGTAACCAGGACCTGGTTTCAGAGGGGCATGACTGGCATATGATTATAACCAAGACAGGAATCCAAACAACTGTATTAAACCCCACTGAAAAAACACTAGGCTGCAGTCTAGAAAAGATGGAGTAAAAATGTACTTGTTCCTCTAGCACTGATATGAGAGGAGGATGCTCACCCCAGCTAAGGAGG